TTTTAGACTTTCTATCAAGTCCTTTGGTAAACATTTAGATAGACTGACCTTTTTTTAATTTAAATGAGATTAATGTCAGCACCCTAAACTCTGGCTATCAAAGGTTTTGTTTTGCGTGTGCTAATCGCTTTATTATTGTCCATCAAAAGGTCTATTGTGACGCATTTTCAGACATTAGATTTGCTAAGGCCTTCTTTGAGATGAGTTTGTTTTGTTTTTTCTCAGCACCAGCAGCAAGCTGGCCTCGTTTAAGATATCTATTCCAAGGACAAGGCTATCTTACTGTCTCCTTTGTATTTGTTTGTTTTATGACATCTTCTGCTTTGAGAAAAGCTGAAAAAGTTAACAGATGGTTGTTATCTTAAAACAGGGCAAACCAGAGATGGGTGTTGTTTGTCTGCTCTCATTCTTGGAAGAGTTTTATTATAATAATGCCTCTATGAATGTCTTCACTTGACTGCTTTAAATCCTACCTGAAGCACGGTGTCTGTAGAGAACTTTAAATCAGAGACTAGTTCAAGTCTGCTTAGTACCCCCAGAATTAGAACCAAAAACAGAGTAGCAGCATCTAGTTCCTATGCTCCACTTATGTAGTACAAACTGCAAATACAGATGGACCTAAGCTTTCTTAGGAAGTACAGTCTGCTCTATCCTTTCTTGTAGATGACTTAAGAATTACATCTTAAGTTAAGTGTGTTGTTTAGGTTAACACCAAGGTATTTATACTCCTCCATCATCTCCCCTTCTTCTCCCATGCTGTTATTAGGATTCAGCTTGTTTCTGTTTCTTCTGAAATATACAGTAATCCCCACTGTTTTTTGTTCACATTTTTTTCCCCCACACCATTCCACAAAGCGGTTCACTAGCTCCCTGTACTCAGCTTCTTGTCCATCTTTGATGCAGCCAATGATTGCAGAGTCATCGGAGTATTTCTGCAGATGACAGGACTCTTTCTGGTACTGGAAGTCAGAGGTGTACTAAGTACGGTACAAAGGATGGTGAGTGTACCATCCCCTGTGGTGTTCCAGTGCTGCGGACTACTTAATGGGACGACTGGCCCTTTGGTCTAACAAACAGTGGTTGTTGATAAGCCCATGGATTTCAGTAACTACATTCACCAAGAAAAGCATCTTATACAGTTTATTAGAGACACAAAGGTCCTTTCAAATCTTTCTTTCTGCTGATTATGATTTTTCCATTTATAGCTTTTGAAAACATCAGGACAAAAAAGTGTATAATGTAGAAATGTGAGCTCTATGTCTAATACCTTCTTAATGTTTGATATTCTGAAAATGTACTTCTGACAAAGAAGTAAACCTTTCCATTCAGATTATTATTCCAATAATGTTCCAATCATTTTGATTCCCTTCACTTTAGGAAGCTCTTTGTGTAAGGACACAGCATTTCCTGCTCTCCACACAGTTTCTGACATTGTGTTTAATGACAGTGTTATTGAGAGCTTCAGCAATCCATTTTGTGCGAAAACAACTGCTACATGTACCCTTAGTGATTTACATGTTGGAAAACAGTAGTATTTTGTATTCTTCTCTAGGCCTTTTGTGTAGGCCAGACAAATATTCTGTCAGAAAGGCAATTGGCCCAACTAATCTTAAGTAATCCTTGCCTGTTTTGCATACCCAAATGGAAAAGCAAATAACTGAGGAACTGTAAGCCCAAATTACATGTGTGATACATCATTTGAAAGCTAACACCTTCATGTTTCTGAAAATATAAATGTAAATGTGACTTAAACGCAGATTAAACTGCATCAGTTCAAACATGACTGAAAGGTGTTTTTTTTCTTCTCAAAAATAATAGGGATTTCTAATAAAGACATGCTTAAATGGAATAGGCATGTCTCATTGTATTACATTTGTTCTACATCATGTCAATGACAACTGCAGACAATTTGAGACCTCTAGCTACTGTTAGAGTTCTGGTTCTGTTAAGTTGTTTTCTATGGTTTATTTCTTATTTTATTGTCTTCTTTGGGGTTTTTTTCTGTTTCTATCTTAGTCTTGGTTCTGTTATGTTTTCTTTTGAGTGTTCAGTTTTGCTTTACTCCATGTTTTATAGTCTTAGTAGTTTAATTCTTTTTTTTGTTGTGTTTTCTGGTTATTTTCAGTTCTCAGTTTTTTATTTGTTGCCCTCTGCTGCCCTCTTGAGTTCTCATCTTTTCCCTTGCCCCTTTCTTGTTTCTGCTCTACTCACACATGCTCCTAATCTGCTTGTTAGCTCTCCCTTTGTTTCAGTCTCCCATAAATACTCTCTTTGTGCAGTTCTTCAGTGCTGGTTCCTCATCAAACTTCCTCCAACCCCGTCTCTCTAAGTCTTCCACCTTGTGATAGTTATCCCCCTGATGTCTTCATGGTTTCTGGCTAGTTTTGACTTGTTTTCTTGTTTTGATTTTTGGACTCCTGGTTTCGTGTTAGTTTAGACTTTGTTTTCTTTTTGGATTTTTGGATTACCTTCCTGTGTTTTCAGTAAAGCTTAATTTAATCACCAAGAAATTCACCTCTGCCTTCCTGCCTCTGCTTTTGGGTCAACAATCCATAACCAAATCCTGACAGCTACAACAGTTCCAGAGCTGTGGGGCTTTGAACTTTGGTGTCACCAAGGTCTCCAAACCCCCCCAAATATGCCAAATTGTACCAATTGCGCCATTGGACCCATAGAATTAGACTGAAGCATTTTGGTATTCACAAAACATTTATGAAGCAACCCTGGATAACCTTAGCCACGCTAACTATAAGCTTAATCAAAAAATGAAAGGTTTAAGCTTTGCCTTAAAGCAGACATGGTGTCTGCCTCACAGACTAGAACTGATTGTTAGTTGCTCAGGAGAGGAGCCTGATAAATAAAAGATCTGAGTTATGGTGATCATATCAAAGAGCAGTCCAGTACCTCTAGTGCAGAGGTTACGGATTAGCATTCCAAATCCGGACCCACCTGCTGGGTAATCAGGACCCAACCTGATTTAAAACATTTATAAATTACCGCTTGTTGTCCAACGGCAGTGTAGGTTTAGGGCTTGCCTAAGTGCAAAGATTGCATGAAGTTGGCTGGTTATAACATTGTGTTGTACGAGTGCGCGTAATATTATCAACTGACATTGTATGTTGTACACCTTTAAGCTGGAATGACTCTATCTGAATATGAATCCTAAAGGAATGAGCTATGTGAAAGTTAAATTAATTGAAGAGTATTTTGATTAGATTTGTTCTATATAATGTTATACACAATAAATATTATTCAAACACTGAGCTTTCTGCATGAAGTTTACAAATTTTCCCAGGGCAGCGTTTGATCTCTTTTCCTAATGTCTAAAAACATGACTGTTAGGTTTAATAATGACTAAATTACCCATCAAATTGGCATATTGATGTGTGTACATTGTTGTGTTGCCCAAGGATGTACTGGCTACATTTATGCAACATACAATGACTTTTGACAATATTATTATTGCTACAGAGCAATAATAATTAAAAAAAAAGATATAGTGAATAAAATACACCCTCATAACCAATTAATGTTGTCTATAAATTGTTTATATGTTTGCATCAAATACATTTATGAATACATATACTGATTATATTATTAAGAAAGATGATACTTACACAATATTTACATTAGAACAACTGAAAAAAGCGTAAAAAAGCTAAGCAGGAAACTTCTTAGGAATTAATTTAAATCAAAATTGCCTTGACTAGAGAAAAAAATAATAAATAATATATATATACATATATATATATATATATAGCTTTTTCGTTTATGTTTCATATTTCCCATTATGACACAGCTACTAGATATTAATCAATATATGTTCACCTGATATCACCAGTACATAAACCAATACACCTATACATTTTCATACATATATTCACAAATACCTTGTAAAGTTTTAAAAACTTGTTAAAAAAAATTAGGTTACTTTTCCTTAGAGACCATTATTGGCAACAATCAGGTTTTTAAGGGATTTTAGAAATTAATGACAATGTAGAGTTGGGTCTCAAGAAAAAGAAAATGCAGTCAGTTCAACTACTGCTAATACTCCTTTCTCCAAAATCAACATATTGATGTAATGTTTTATGTGTTGTTTATTTAAAGCATCCATTCATCCATCCATCCATTTTCCATCACGCTTATCCCAAGTAGGGTCGCGAGGGCATGGAGGATATAGGTCCTAAAAGTTATCCCTGGAAAAACATATTAAAACTGTTGAAAAAACAACATTATGTAGCTTAATTTTAAAGCTAATTATAGCTGGGGCACAAATGACAGGGGACTTAATGTCAGGGTTCTGCCCTCTATTTTTTTGTTGCTTTGTTTCTTTCTATGTGTGTTCAACCCGATGTTAATTGGATTTTGGTTTTCAGTATTTTGGATTTTTGCCACTGTTGCCTTGGACTTTTTATTGAATCAGCAAGACTCATCTCTGCCTCCTTATCTCCTCAAAAATCTCCACTCAACCGTGACAGAAGAAACCAGCAATGAGGAACTCTATAGATGGCGAATATATGGGGAACAGAACAAAGGATGGCCTAATGAGCTGATATGGAGCAGGTGTGAATAGAACTAACTCGAAGGGAGCCGAGGGGAAAGGAACAGGCACAAGGGGGCAGCAGAGAGTAACTAAAGGAATAAAAAACTGACAGAAAACAACTGCAAAGAAACAGAATACCAAAGAAACTAAAAATAAACTTAAACAAAGTGCAGAACCCTGACACTTCATTCCACTACATGGGTGAGAGCAGTATTAATCAATAGGTTTTCTTTGTTTTTTGTTTTTTTATTATGCCAAGACATAAATTAACACATTTTATCTACACATTTTTTTTTTTATCAACAGAGCAAATATGATTTACAGGGAACTTTAGCAGACAATCATGTCAAGTGTCAGCACTCCTTTGTTATATGAACATTCTGATAATGGTATCTTGTGTGTTTTTTTTAAATACATATATACAGCTCTTGAACTACTTAAACTTATAAAGGTCAGGAGTTACATGCTCGATGTCTCTGCATAACTCTGAATAAGACTTAGGAAATATTGCTGTGTGTTTTTCTGGGGTTCAAAAACAATAATGTAACACCTTGGCAGGAAATACCAAAAGAGAAAAGAGTAGAGACTAGACAGTAATGCTAGAGCATTGAAAGTTGAGGTGTAAGATGAATGGTTAAGAAGATGGGTAGTGGCATATATGATCCAGATTATGACCAACAGCAGAAGGCAGAACGTTATTGATTTGGCCTCATTGTAATTCTTTGGAAGATCCTTTCCCATGTAAGAGAAAATAAAACAAAAGAAACACAATATTGAAAATAAAATCAGAAAACCAGACAAAGCTTCAACATTTTGATTACACCAAAGTATGATTGTTTTTGATTCTTGTTGTGTAATTTTTTCAGGTGTTGGGGGGGCAGAGGAATAACCATGAATGAGTAAAATTGTTTGAATGACAAATACTACAATGATGAACAACCACTGCCCTTGGTATTTCATCCACCAACTGAGGAGGATGGGATACTTAGTTGCTATTTTGAATACATAAACAATTTGAAATGAACGTACTAAAAAACATGCAATACATACAGTGAAAAAGAGGAAAAATGGGAAATATTTCAAAACACAGGAAGCAGCTGTGGGTATACCAAAGTTAAAGAACACGCTAATGCAGGACAGACTCAGGCATGCTAAAATAAGAAAGCACATTGGACCTCCCGCAGATTTGACAACAGGTGACTTGTAATTGTGTAAAAAGAGAACAAATATAGCTGCAGCAAGGCACACAAAAATTAAAGTTCCAAGTATGATCATCATAGCTTCACCACTTGAATAGGGTGTGTATTCCACAAGCCGCGGATGGCATGTAGTACTTCCTTCCTCAGACCACTCTTTTTCTTTACATTTTGTGCATTCATAATAATCCCCTGTTATACAGAATACACAGACAGTTAATTTGCAAAGTTAGCTAAAAAAAAGAAATATGTGTAGACTTGCATGTTCAAATAATAATAGGCCTGTGATACATATTTAAAGATAACCATATTGTAATTATATTATAAGGCCAGTTTTCTGTTTTAATGCACAAAACAGATTTAAACAAGCTTACATATATTTCATATCTAAAAACTGACAACTGGATGAGCAACACCAGAATTGGCATTTACGAATGTATTTATTTTATTTAGATGTTTTACCTGTACTATTGACATAAGTTCCTCTTTTACAAATAGTGCAAGTGAAGCAGCATTTGTGCGTTTCTTGTAGTACTTTATAATGGCCTTCAGGACACTCTTGGGAACACAAGGACACAGGCACCTGTGAAGGTCATGTATCAAACAAAAAGGAAAAACCAATAAAAATATATACACAAACACACACACCCATACTCATTCTGCCATCGTAGTAAGGACCATGTTGACTCCCATTGACTTCCATTGATTTTCAGTAATTTTCAACCCTTTCTATGTCCTAGCCCTAAAACTAACCCTAAACCTAACCATTGCCAATGCATACCTCACCCTAACCCTAACCCAATTGACAATTTAGCCTTAAACCTAACCATTAGCAAAATAGCTTGTAAGGACTGGTAAAATGTCCTCGCTTTGCAACAACTGTTCCTCAATTTGATTGTAAAATTGGAGAAATGGCCCTCACTCTAATGCTAGACTGACCAGATCATACTTAATCATGTAATGCTCATGTAAAGCTCATTTCAGTATTATTTATTATAAATAGTACATAGACATTACCTCCCCATCCTTGTGCCACTGGATTTTGCTCTTGTTGATGAAGAACTGGGATGATGGGGGGAAATTATAGTAGCCAACATTTTCTGCTTCACCACTTTGGTTCCAGAACACTATTGAATAACCGCCATATTTTGGGTCCCCATTTTCGTCAAACTGAACCCTCTGGTTCAGAAGACTGAAGTTTGATCTCCTTAGCTCTGGTAAAATCTGTTGGGAAACTAAATCAGATTACTTGTAAACATACAGAGTTTTACATGTCCTCCCTATTATCATTAGATGTGTTGACCAAACAGGAAGACTTTGAATCGAGCATTATTTCTTACACAATCTAATTCCTCTTTCTGGATGAAATAACCAAGCATAATAATAATAATAATAATTGAACTTTATTGATCTCACATTGGTGAAATTTACCTCAGCATTTAACCCATCCCCTTGGGGAGCAATGAGCTGCCATTGTACGGCGCTCTGGGAGCAGTGTGTGGTTAATGGTCCTGCTCAGAGACCAAGAGTGCAGGCTGTGGGGATTGAACTGGGTACTTGTAACCTAACCTGACAACAGCCAGATGCATGTCTCGCTCCGCCTAGCTCCGCGAGCTAGGTTACTTGTAACCTTCTCAGAGCACAAGCGCCCTGCTCTAACCGCTAGGCCAACACTCTTCTAAGCCTGTGTACACATCTTTCTTTGCTTTTTGGGAATACAAGAAAGAGACAACTTTTGCATTACATCACATAGTCTATAAAACGGTCCTACCCTTTACTATCTTTTCTGAATGTTTGAATTTGAACTTTGAATATAGTTGTTCAAGCCAGACTACATGTTTTCACCTATAATTAAGAGAAGCATTTTTGTCAGATTTAGATGGATAGATGAGTTAATGTTACAAATCTATTACAAACTATTTGTTGACCCATCCTTAAAGATTTTTTTGCAAACACTGTTCTTTGCCTCACTGTTTTTATGATCAGAAAAGGATATCCAGACACTGCTCTTACTAGCACATATTATTGATTTACTCTTTCTGAGTTATCAGCCAGTCACTACAAATAAAGGGTATCCCATGACCGTCTGGACTCCACTGTTTATGGCAGTGTGAGTGTGACTAACTGAGATGATATCACGGGATATTTGCATGTCAAATAAGAACTAACACCTAAGCTGATGCATCCCTCCTTTTATCCGTGCTCTTTGTCTTACTCAATGGAGCAGGAGAGGAGGAGCTTTTGTTTGTGAATGTTCCTGTGTGAAAAAGAACAAATTAGCATCTCCAAACTGTGAATCGAAGCCCTATTGTTCTTGCTCAGTAGCCGGTAAATAGCTTTGGTTTGTTTTTGTTTGATCTGACGCCATAAGGCAATTTTTGAGCTGGTAAACAAAAAAAAAAACAAAAAAAATATATAATACTTAAAAGCAATTTTAATTAATTATTGAAAATATGTATACACATCCGGACCTAAGTATTTACTTTGTTTGTCTTCTACATATTATGTTGAATCTAGAGTTTGTAATATAAGACTAAACATATTGAGAGTTCTAGATTTTGATCAAGGTCATTTAAAAAGAAAGCGGAGGGAGGGGTCTACACATTTCATTGTTCAAATGCAATGTCTATACTTACCCAAAGAAGAAACTTATTCTATCAAAAAAAAACAGTCATCTCTTAAAAGACATAAAAAATTTATAGGGAGTCTAAATGTTGATAAATTTCAAGATTAATTAAACTTAAATGTGTCAGGTATATGAAAAGTTTGAGCTCTACTGTATACAGTATATAAAAAGTAGTGGTCCGTCAATGATTCAGCCTGTAACAGACATTGAACGTGTTGATGCACAGTGAAGTGCAGTGTTGATGAAGGAAATGAGACAGCATTGGTTATAAATTCCTCGACAAAAGTTGGGCAGGCATGTTGTAATTGAACATTCAGGTTGATATTGTAGGTATGCAATACCCCTACTTACCTTGTTCTTAGTTTTTAACATGATGAATTTAAAATTGCAGTCAATTAATATTGTTCTGTAAATAAACTGATTCAACCAAACAGATTCAGTATAGCTTTAAGAGGTGTCTTTAACATCACATTAAATAAGGAAATCTGCTTCTGTAGAAAGAAGGAATATCACCATCATATGTACCTTTCCTAATATTTGAAAATAAAAGTATCATAGTTATGGTGTATAATTCTATTAATTTCCATCATGATTAGATATTTCAGTTAAACGTTGTTATGTAGAGAAAAGGGTTATATAAGTTATTTTATTTTATATTTTAAAGATATGTCAGAAAAAAAAAATGGATATCAAAAAGAGTTGTCTAAAAGATAATAAACTCACCATTTGATGGTGCACCGTCACATTGCTGTTACACTTGCCCGCTCCACATTGCAAGACAGAATGTAAAGCATGGGCAATGGCATACACAGCAGAGTAAACAGAGAAAGAGAAAGATGGGTCTGCATTGATGATATCCTCAGCTGCCACATTGGTGCAGTTGCAGATTTGATTACAGAACTTTCCCTTATCTTCCTGCTGATGCAGAGCTTTAAAAGAATGGATGAAATCCCTGAAACCTGGTATTTCTAATATTGGCTCAGCAATCCCAATGACAGTTCCAATATTTCTGATCCCATTTTCTTTCGGAAGCGTTTTGTGTAAGGACCAAGCATCAACGGCTATCCAAACTTTGTTGGTGATGTTGTACTTTATAGCGGCCTTAATGAGATCTTCAGCAGTCCATTCTGGTGCAAAAACAATGATGACATTTATCTTAAGTGAGATTAGTGTTTGTAAAGTCTTTAGGTAATTTGTGTACGTATTAAGGCCTTTAGTGTATGCCAGACAGATCTCAGTATCCTCAATACTCTTGATAAACAAGTCCCGACCATCTCTGCCATAATCATCGTCAATGTGTAAGAATGAAACCCAGCGCCAGTTGAATTCCTTCAAAATCATCAAGACAACTTTTAAAACATCTTTGTTTGGATGTATTGTTCTAAAAAATGATGGAAATTTATATTTATTTGAAAAGACAGAACTAGCCGCTCCATAACTGACCTGTGAATGAGAAAGTGACATTGTTTTTTCCCATATACATATATTTTTAATGCTTTCAAATTTTTATTAGAAAAGAAATAATCAAAAGTGTCAAATAATGTTAAAACAATTCAGTTAAGTCAAGTTAAAAATATTTACCAGAGGAATAAGATCCGTCATGAAGAGTGGGGCAAAATTCAGAGTGGCTGTGCTTGTATAAGTGCCCACCACTGCAATCACTTTCGACGTTTCTGTCAGTGGTTTATTCCAAGGTTTGATGGAACCATTAACGGAGATAAGGTTGAAAATACTGGGGAAATTGTGAGTATCTGAGCAGTGGTCATATATTTCATAGCCAAGGGTTACACTGGGTAACAGATCAGTTGAGTTATTTATTTCCTCTACAGAGAATCTCATCACCTGAAATCTCCGATAACTTGAGAGAGTAAGACGTTGACTGTGGAGAGAAAAAAGAACAAGACCCAAGTCATTGAAATTCAAGGTTTCTGTAGAGTTTGAAAACTTGTCTGAATTTGAAAGGATATAATCAAACATTTAATTGTACAAACCATTAGGTTGTAAATTAAATCTATGGCTTTTAGAGTAAAGTGATTTTTTTTTTTTTATTGTTAAAGGGAAACTTATAAAAAGGGTATTCAGGAGTAAACAGGATTCATTCCTTGTTTGTTCTGTATTATAACAGCTAGTAAGTTAAGAATATGATGCATGCTATTTTTAGTCTGTTATCCTAAAAGGGATCAAAACCAGAGAAAATAACCCACCTTGAACAAGTGATAGTCTCTGATCTGTCTTGAAAAACTGTGTCACTAATTTGATGAATGTCAAAAAGTCCACCAATCAAAAAATCTCCATCCAAAGAAAACTCTGAGGCTGTGGCGGGCTGAGTCAGAGCCTGTAGAAATAATCCCAGCAGACACACATGAACAACAATCCTACACATGGTCGTAGTTTTTGTTTTGCTTGTCTTTGGTCCTTCTCACTTTGCCTCTTCCTTTGCACTGGATGTTTTATACGGTTCATAAATATTTTGGTTCCTATGATGATTTACATGATTTGGAGATGAGCAAGCTGTCATGAATACATTAGTGTCACATTCTGATTATCTTCAAAAAGGCATGCAAAATTTCTGGTGCCACCAAATAGTTGCTAAATAAATGATTCATTGTCTGTGTGCATGACTGATGCACTATCGTGGATCAGTCTTCAGGGGTAGGGCCATTGCGGTTTTGTAATAACAAATTAAGAGTATAAAAGGAGGAAGAGATTTTATTCTCACGCTTATGTGTTTACATAAGTTCTTGGAATAAAGAAAGTTATTTTGGTAGAACGGTACCTGCCAAAAATCAGCCTGATTTCAGAAACTGTCTCAAAAATCAACCCCACAACGTGTCTTTACAAAGAGCCCGCTATAAAAAAAAAAATCTTAAAGCTTTTCTTTTTATTATAACCAATTATGTGCCTTGAGAATAAACTAAACTATACATGTCCCTCTTGAATGGAAAGACCCTGTGTTTCCCAAAGATATTCCTGTATAGATGAAGATAGAATCCATCGGTAATATCCTACACTTCCAGTTAATTTTATAACTGGACCTACAGTAGTCAATCTGCATCAATCTACCCCTCAATAACTAGCCGTATATAACTAGGCTCTCTTTAGGGACCTGAGTAGAAGCTTAATGTCATTCTAAAGCCATTTTGAAATAAGGTGTACAGGGAGACCTAATGCATCTTTTCATAATAAAAGGGGCAATCAACAAATGGATTATAATTCCTAATTCCTTTGAATAGAATTCACATTTCAATGTTCAACCGCATTTTGCACCATATTTATTTATTTATTTTGCACTGAACCTTTCTTTATCATAGCCTTTTGCACCATGACATTTAAACTGGTTTTCTTTTTCTCCTAAACTGTTACACTACATTATTGATCACTACTCCTCTTTATGAATGGAAATGTTCATTTCACTGCTGTAAGCTGCTCATTCACTGTTGAAAACTGTACGCATCAGGATTTCATTTTCTGTGAACACAAAATAGCAATAAAGTTTGTCTAAATTTGAGTCTGTAAAATCCATTGAAGAGCAGGCCTGTTTAATTTCTTTGCTTCTGTCCATTTTGCAGTTGTTCATTGGTGACCAATTGACTGCAAGTTAAGTTACAGCTAGTCCTGATTAGTTTCTGCTCAGTCTAGGTAAACCCTTTAGTTGTTGTTCATTGATTTTAGTATGTGAGAAATAATATCCTAATGCACATAGGATAATGCGTGCTACACAAGCTGTCTGCTGATGGAAATTTTTGTAATTTAATTTGTATTTACAGGCTGAGTGGTATTGTGTCTGCAACATGTATCCATTTTGTTGCAAAATAGTATGATTTTAATGGTTTTATTACAAATCTTATCCTCCATTTACCACCAACCTGTGTACAGCCCTATTTGCTAACCCTCTTTATAAATTTATTTTAATTTCAATAGTAACAAGTTAATTTCAGTTAGTGACTAGTTCCAATATAAACAATATAATTCTAATTAAACTATTAAAAATATGGTTGAAGTATTAATAAATGGGACTTATTGTCTGCATTCACATAAGGGCCTTGAAGTTATTTTATTACATCATTATATTGAATTCAACGTAGCAAATCTTCTAGGAGCCGACAGCTAACCAAGAGACAAGGAACAAGAAACAAGTTTATATAGTTTTTTTATTTTATTTTTTTTTGAGAATAGGATACATGTGTAAATTCAGTGAATATCATACAGAATACATTAGTAATAATAAATACTTATCAACAAAAATGTATTTCAAAACATGTTTTAAAAATTTTACTGTACATGAAATATTTAATTTGTATATATCGTGGCAATACATTGAATATTTCCAGCAAGTAATTAAGCATGAATCTGTGTCTCCTGTACATATTAAACATTATTTACTGTCCTACAAAAGTTAAAATACATCAGAAAGAAGAACTGCCCCAGAATACACCAACCTTTGTTGTAAATTAAACATTTATACATTTTCAAAAGAAGTTTTAGCTTGAACAGAAGGAATATTTTAAGCTCAGTGAAATAATTCTGAATATGGTGGGAGGAATAAACAACAGTTAGGAGTACTAAACACTCCTACATGCTGCATGTAAGCGTAAAGCAGACAGTGCTTTAGCTGTGATAGCAATTAAAACGTGGATTGACTATTCACTGTACATCAAACATGCTTTGCCACAGTGCGTTTTTAAACCACTACATCAAACTCATCTCTCTTCTATCTTATCTCTCTCTATTTTGTTTGTTTTAGTATCTTATGTATTATATTTCTATGTATTCCATACCTTTTCTCCAAAATTTGTCTAAGATTAAAACTTTTTTGCTTGTCACATGCATTGTACTGGTGTGGCAAGTAGTATTCATGTAATATCAGGGGCTCACGAGCTGAAAAGTGTATGGAATGGACTCAACCTGTGATATTACTCAGGTCATACTAAGCTATCCAAACTGAAAAGATTTTCAGAAGGTCAAGGCACAGACAGGAAGCTACTGGCTGTGTGTATAACTCTGAATAAGACTTTGAAAGTACTGCTGGGTGTTTTTTTTAGGTTCAAACACAATAATGTAACATTTTGGCAGGAAATACCAGAAAAGGAAAGAGTAGACACTGGAAAGTACTGCCATTGCATCAATAATCTGGATGTACTTTTCAAAGTAAAGTTCGTGGAGAGTAACAGTTAATGTCCAGATGATTATCAGCTGCAGGAGGCAGAAAGTTATCGCTTTGGCCTCATTGTAATTTTTTGGCAAATCTTTTCCCGTGTAGGAGAAGCCAAAAGAAAAAATGATCAAAGCTGCAATTAAAATTAGAGAACCAATTAGTGGAAGTAAATCATCTCCACAGTGATGGAGGATCTTATCAGAATGCAGCTGTGTGTCATTGTAAGGAATTGGGGGCCCAACAGAATAGCCAATGATAAGTAGAACTGCCTGGGAGACAATGGCCACACCGATGATCAACCATTGTCCCTTATATTTTAACCACCAACTTAAAATTTTTGGGAACTTGACAGCTATTTTGAAAATGCAAACAATCTGAAAAGAGCGAACAACAAAACAAGCCAAACAAATTGTGAAGAAAAATAGAAAGAACAAAAGACGTAAAATGCAAAAGGCTGCTGTTGGCTTTCCAAGATTAAAAAATACACTAAGGCTAGACAGGCTGAGGCAGACTAAAATCAGGAAGCATATTGGTCCTCCAGCAGATTTGACAACAGGAGTGTTGTAATTGATAAAGAAAAGAACGGATACGGCTGCAGCGAGGCCCACGAAAACCAGAGCTCCAAGCATGATCACCACAGCTCCACTATGTGAGAAAGCCATGTATTCCTCCCGCCGTGGATTGCATGAAGTGCTTCCTTCTTCAGACCACTCAGTGTTTTTACATTTGATGCAGCTAAAAGGATCCTCTGTTGTATTAAATAAATAACATTAAGTCAGTATATAAATGTTAAATGTTAACAGACACCATATTACAGTATTATGTTTTTTTTTTCATTCAGAACAACTTAGAAAAATAAGTAGTAACTAACTTAATGTATGTCTTGGCTGTAAGTCTGTAAACTGTAAGTCCAAAAGGTTCTTTGCGCTAAAATATTGGTCTCCAGCTTTCACCCTAAAGGTTTTTTGTTTTGTTTTTTTTGGCTGACTTGTGTTATTCTGCAATTAATTACAAACTAAATTGCTCTCCTATTATTTTTATATTTCATGTTTTATAGTATGCCTATGGATTGTTTTCCATGTTTATCAAGAAAAAAAATCTTCACCAAGCTTTTTTTTCCTATTGTATCATTTTTTTTTTATTATAAATGACTAAAATATTTAAGAGATAGACAATTTTTGCCCATTTTAAAATATCTTACTTGTGCTGTTGATATAGGTTCCTTTTTTACATTTCGTACATTTGAAGCAGCATTGGTGGAGTCCCTCTTGTGATTTGGCAAATCCAGCCTCACATTCTTCTGAACAAACTGACCGTGGCACCTGTTCAAGTCAGAAATCAAGCAAAAAGGATCAAAAATTAGGATAATTCAATGATAGGATAATTTAGATGACCATAAAGAAACCGTAGCTGTAAAATTTACAATCTATTCATTTTTTTTTATTGGGCTTAACAGAAATAACCCTCTAAATCCCAGCAGCCACTATAGCTGTTACAATAGAACACTCCTTTATATCTAGAAACAAACAGCATTTTTCTTTTTCAGCATTTTTTAGCATTGAAAAAAA